GAGAAAATTTGCAGTCGCATCTGCATCTAAAATTGGATGAGCAACAGAGAAGTCATTGACGTTAAAAATCGCATGAGTGACGAGGCTTTTAATGCAATCTTAAAGAATAATTAAAAAAAATTATTCTTTATTATAAGTATTTATATATAATTCTCGTATTTCATTTTTATTCATTTAAAGAATAAATTATAAGCTTTTATTTTTTTGCCACTGCATAACTTTACGACTTTAAGATTACGTTAAAAGTTTAAAGCCTTCGACACATGTGCGATTTTTAACGTCGGTCAAGGCTATTCTCTTGCTCATCAAACTATAGATGCAAACGCGACTGCAAATTTTCTCCACACGTGCATGACAAGCTTATCGTTGCATAATCTACTGCATCACAGGAACAATAAATCTAGTCTTTAAAGATGCCGCTTAAAAAAAAAGCGATAACATTATCGGCCGATTTTAATACGAGTCGTGTTTCACTGTATCTCATGCATCGGTTTTATCAGCCGTTAAACAATAAAGACTTAAAACTTGTTTTTTTCGCACTTGACACCGAACACCCGCGTAAACAACGCGCGTTCCTCGGGATCCCCCGCTTCGAAACTTCGTGGAAGTCGATGAAGAAGATTACGCCACCTTGACGTGCGTTCCAGTTTCTAGTTCGTTAAGCGATTGCTTTTTTTTATTTAGCGTTCGACTCGCGGGCGGCGATATTCTTTTTCAGCATTCGCGAATGCAAACCGTTAGGTCGATTAGATCGAGCAGATGCAATTTTATGAATAAAATATGAAAATTGTGCGCAATTCACGGCATGAGGAAGCACTCGCGGCTTCTGCTTAAGCGGCGACCGCACTTTGTGTATACATATTCCTTTGTCTGTAACATTGTTCCGAAGGATATCATTGCGCGCCCATTAGATAAGGCAGATATCATTTCATAAATGAATATTAAATAACGCGAATCGCGTATCCGGAAGGTACATACAAGCTACGGTTCTAACTTGTTAATCTTGTTTACTATTGTCAAGACTGCTTTTACTATAACTATATTTTTATTACATTTTATGTATTGCTTTAAATTTACTTGTGTATTTATTTTAGGCTGAACGTAAAAATATTGTAGTCAAATATAATTATATTACGTTCCGAAATAACAAATTTATTCTGAGGTACAGATCTTGTGATTTTCTTTGCATACGATGCCGGTTTGTTTATTATTAAACTGACAATAAATTCTATTATCATACATGTAAACTGTTAGTATTAAATTTCTATCGAACAAGATAGAATTTTGGCCAAATACACAATGTACTAGATTAATTTTCAGTCATTTTTTAAACAAAGATTCACTTTACATAAAAAAATTTATTATGATTTCAATTTATTTTGAGGCGTGGAATTATTTGCGTCTTTATTATACCACGTATTTTGGCTCCTATCCTATTTTCTATTTTCTAGCCTATCCTATTTCCTATTTTCTAGCAATTCAAAACTCTTTAATTTCCACTTAATAACTTATAATGAAAATATGTAATTTTTAATTTAGTATTTAGTATCAGTAATTGGGAGAAAGTGTAAGATAGATTAATAAAGAGATTTCCTGTAAAACTAACAATAAGTAAACTATGCACCTTGGAATTTATATTTTATTTAAAAAATTATTTACGTAGAATATTTCACTAAATATTATTAAAGACATAAATAAACATAATATTCTAAATATATTATATTATAAAGACGGAAACAGACAGAATGCTATGTTTATTTTATTATCGCTCAACGGAATGTATTTCAATTTTAAATAAAATCCAAATTATCTGACAGAAGTTCTCATTAAAAAGAATAAAATAATAAATAAAACTTTAAAAAATTGAGAATAGCTTTCTTTTTGCGTACGTAATTTAAGCGGTATTTAAAATAACAGTGTGCGAAGTGCCGATAAAAAGGTTAAAGACAAAGCAAAGAATCAACAAGTGGCAAGCGCGATATCACAGGGCTTTATCGAGAAATTATTGACGAAATTGCTTTCGCCATTATTCTGAAACTTTGTCCCCACTTTCGCCGGAGACAAAGGTTTAAATCCGGAATGGATGTGCATGTTTTGCAATGCAAATGCAAACTCGATAACGTGTTCGTCTGAGAGGAAAAAAAAAAGGAACTCTGTTGCGATGTTACTGAGCGTGACAATTCGTAAACTTCCCGGCGGAAAAACAGAATACGTTCGAGCTATTAATCGGTATAGCGATACATATCGCGATGTACAATCAGACTCGCGTGAGACACGTAACAATCCTCGTTCTAGATACACATTAAAAACGGCAGATTGAACAGATTGGGGATCCACGATTGTCAGCCAGGAATAATCGCCAATCCTGCCCGACTACGCTGATTCCCACTTCCGGATTATCTAATGTAAGAAAGTAACTAATCGCCCCTCGGGACGAATCGCGCGGATCGTGTGCCTAATTTCTCTCATTTTCCGCTGAATGTCGGACGCCTTCGGTTTCACTTCGCTTCACCGCGAGGACGCGATGATGCGTTTTACGAGAAGCCTGGAAATGAGTATGTGGCGCTCGAGCGAAGGTAGGCTTCTACATCGTCGAGCGCTTTAGAAAGCGCCGCGCGGTTTCGGTACGTTTTACTTTGCGCACAGTCTGCGCAATAATAACGCCTCTTAATTTCGCGGTTAGTATCGCGGTTATCGAAGACGAACACAGTGTTCATTGATATCTAATCGAATCATCTGATCTTAATAACAATGACACACGAGTTTGTTCCCATTAAACGGTATATCCCTTATTGCGAACGGCACAAAAGTCGATATGTCACGTATGTCAAGATTAAGATTAATTTCGCAAATTCGGTATAGATAAGCTCAAACTTTATCTCTTCGCACAAGCTTGTAAAAAAAATTAAAAAATTAAAAAAATCACATTACGATGATCTAAAATATAACATGTGAAAATAATGGGATATTATTTTCAAGATTTTGTCTTATCTAACTTAAACTCAAATTTTAAAATAAAATTTCGTTATAATTATATAAGTAATAAATTTAAATGTAGATAATTTTCATAAATAAATATTAAATTTTGTCTATTGCTATCTCTATGAGTAATGGTGTTGCTTTCACAAGCGTGTTGTCGGATGATACAGCTAAATGTAAATAAACAGATTCCGTTCCGTAAACTCTTGCTGATGTTTCATCGACTTCTGAGTAAGCAATATAAAAGAAGATCGTTTTTCTCACTTCGGAATACAACTGCCGCGATAATTCCAATATCGTCTGCTTATTCATTGCCGGTGATTTGATTGACAAGTATTTCGGTGCCCGCAAACGGCAAAAATTAATTCAGGATCCCGTCTAAGCGCCGCCGACGTTTAGGACACGCGACAACACCGTTACACGTGTCGTACAACGGTTTAACGAGGATTCTCGCAGTTCGCCAGCGATGCGCGTGGCGCGAGTGGAAGCGAGACGCAAAATCGGGGACGAATAAGTCACGAGAGTATACAGGATGTCACGCGATTTTCCCGCGTTTCCTTTCAGTCACGTATTTCCTGATTAACTTAAAGATTTCTCACAATTTTTATCGTGATCATGAATATCTTTGCGTGACTGAGTTATTAACTATAAAATTCTTTATCTAATTTATTCGAAAGCTAACGAATAGTGCAATATTGTGAACCTCAATTTTGCGTCTTTCAAACCTAATTTGGAAAAGTTTCTCATTGTTACACCAAATAATTTAATTTAAAAATTACATTAGTGCATCAATCGCGTTGAAGTAAACCGGAATTCCAGAATTGTCAATAAAATCAATGATATAGGTAAAAGAAAACGCGCGACACCCTGTATAAGCGAAGTGAAACGTGTTTGAAATATTTAGAGTTAATTGAAATTCCACAGATGACGATATTGGTGCTAACGTCTGCCTCCTGCCTGTGTCGAGCGACACTTCTGGCCGGTATATTAAAGAAAGTAAAATAACCGAACTATCTTACGCACGAGAAAAGAAAGTTGCTGGTACCAGGTCGCTATTGAATTATTATCGATTGTTGCATCTTCCCTCATGGCGGCGCGACGTGCTATTTAATGAAATTTAAGTTTAATGAATACCCGCTTCTCTCACATAGAAACAAGAAGCTAAATAAGAAGAAAAAGTCTGTAAGTATCTCTTTGCGGTAAATTGTTTGTGTTTTGTTAGCTTATACTAATTGCCTCTGTTTCACGTTTCATCTGTTTCATTTAAGATGTTTTCTGAAGTTACTGCCGTTTACAATAAGGGATAAAAATGCTATATCGCAATTGTAATGTTTTAAGTTTAGCTTTGATGATTAAAATTAGCTTTATGATTGATAATTATCGTGATTTAATATTGTATTATATAAATTATAAATTATTTATAGGCTAATTCTGCTAATAAATGTCGCATTATTAAATTGATTAGGATATATGACATAATAATGATGCAATATGAAAAAAATATGGCATTATATTCGTAGCACATAATTTTAGATACCTCTAAGAGATATATATCAATAGTGAAACGTAATCTTATTTATAAATATTGCAGCTGTTATTATTTCATAATTAATCTTTTTCTTAACAGGATATTCGACTTTACGAATAAAAATTCGATAAAACTTTATTCATTTATTTAAAAAATGAAATTAGCTATCAATTTAATTTTTTAATTCAGCATCTTTATATATAAGTTAAGACAATAGTTAACTCTTTATAACATTTATATTATATTTTCATATAATACTTATATTTTATAAATATATTTCTCCAATTTAAACCTAATTTGGTTTAAGATTTGGTTTGGTTTAAGATTTCAATAAACAAATATTACATTTTACTACAAAAAAAGAAAGACAAAGATCCTAAATCTTTTAGCAATAAAACTCAAGTTAATTACTGTTACAATCGCGGATGTCATAGTTTGAACGAGTTCCCGATAGCTTTTTGCATTTCTAAAAAGAGTGCAATTAAAGACTCACCTTCGGCTTATCCCGCTTTCTCCTGATGATGAGGCCGTCGTTCTCTATGTAATCCGGCACGTCCTTTCGGTTACTGAAGTTAAATACCATCGTGTTGTTCTGCTGATTCCATGGTTTCGTGTCCCAGAGACCACCGCCGCCGCCGCCGCCGCCGCCGCCGCCGCCACCGCCGCCGCCACCACCACCTCCGGTATTCGTCTTCTTCACAGGTTGTATCTCGTCGGCGCTCTTCAGGCTCACCACTACTTTCGTCGGCTGTTCGATGCTCTTGACCCGATTGATCAGATTCTTCTCGAGCTCGCGATTGCTCAGATTTTGCTGCGGATGCTGCGTCTTGGTCGAGACGAGCGGCCGGATGATGCCGATCTGCTTCTGCGGCGGCGAGAACTCGCTCTTCTGCTGACATCGTATCGTCTTCACTTCGTTGTTGCTCTGCAACGACGACGATGTCGTCGTCGTCGTCGTCGCCGTCGTCGTTATAGTTGTCGTCACGGTCTTGATCAAGCCCAAACTGCAAATGGCGCCGATGGGTTTGCTCTCCGGTACAATCAGCTTCTCCTCGACGTCCTTGCTGTCGCTCTCCTCCTCAGGCTCGAGCCTTTCCTGCAATCTTGACGCTGCTGCCTTGGAGGTCGCGAAGCTGGCGGGCGCACCTACCTTGCTCCTGCACTCCGCCTTCACGCAACAATCCTCCTCTGCCATCGGCTCGTCCGCCGATTTTTCACCATTCTGCTTCGCACCCGGTAGATAACTCTTGTCGCACGTGGATTTGTCGCCGAAGTTGAACTGCATCGTCGTGCCCGCCTTGCTGATGTTGTCCAAGGCGATCTTGGAGATGGTTCTCGGACCGTCCACGATCTCCTCGTCGACGTTCTTCTCCCCGTCGTTGAACGCGACGCGGCTCGATTTCGCGTCTTCCTTCCAGTCTACATTGGCAGACGAATCTGGAAGGCGTGTCTGTCGTGGACTCTCGTTACTCGTCCTCGGGATCTCCTTTTCGACGCCCTGCGGACGAACGGCCTTGGCCTCCGGCTCCGTCTTCGCGGGTTCTCCTTTGACGGGACTCGGCAGCGGCGGTTTGTGATGCGAACTCGGGATCTGAATGCGGATCAGGTCCTTGATGGGAGAGGAGGGACTCTGCGGGATGCCCTGTCGGACATCTTTGACCGGCGACGACGGGCTCTGAAGTCTGGGCGACAGGATCCTCGGCGAAAGTACTGGCGTGACCGGCGGCGACTTGACGGCGATCTCCAGAGCGGCGGACTTGGATTTGCACGTCTGCGGTGGTTCCGGGCTGTTCGCCGGAGAGAATTTCAGCTTGTAGCTCGAGGGTTCCGGCGACGGGGAGGGCGAGTGCGACTTTTCGATCTGCTGGAACTTGCTTACTACAGAGGATACCGATTGCGCAATTGGTTCCGTGATGACGCCGTCTATATGATACTCCCCCTTGCCGTCCTGCGCCTCGATCAGCTCCGCGGTCGGCTTGTGCGGCAGCACGATTTTTTTCGGGGAACCGCCTGTGGCACCGGCGCGAGCGCCGCCGTTGATAAAGGGCTTCGGCTGCAACGGCGGTTTCTGCAGCTTCTTCTGCGTCTGATGCGTTTGTGCCTTGAACGTGTCGTTGATGGTCTTGAAGGTGGCGACTTTCGCGGCGACCTCGCCCTTGGGCTTCAGCTTCCTCGCCGAGCTCTCGAAGATCCTCATCGTGGTCTTGACTAGATCAGGCGGCGGCCGTTCCGTCTCCGCCAGCACCGGCTTGATCCTCTTGGGCTTGTTGATCGGCTTGGGCCGATCGAGCTCGCTCAGGCGGCTCTCGATCTTCACGGACGTACGGTCCACGAGAATGATGTGGTCGTTGACCGGCTCCTGGCGAACGCCATTTGTCACTGGCCGAGCGACGACCGGAACCTGGCGCGTAGTCGTCGCTTCGTCTGCCGTCACGCTGTTGTACCTCATCAAGGTCTCGACGCTGCGCGCCCGCTTCATCGAGTCGTTGCCCCGGGAGGCGTTCCGGTACCTGTCGGTCTTGGGAGCAACAGCGGCGACGACGACGCCGCCGCCGCCGCTGCCGCCGCCGCTACTACCGCTACCACCGCCAACGCCGCCGCTTCGCTTCGTGTACTTCCTGCTGGTAGTGGTCTTTTCGTGACTGGACGCTTCGTCGTCGTCTCGGTCCAACAGATCCTCGAGGCTGGCCGCGCGCCGGAACCGCTGCACCGACGCGCGACTCTTGTTCGTCTCGCGTAGAGTGAGGTTAAGGTACTTGCATCTGAGCTTGTTGACGATCCCCGGCCCGTACTGCAGCTCCTCGGAGCTGTCGCTCTCCGCGTCCTCGCTGGAGGCGCGACTCGGCGACGCGACGCGGCGCGACAGACCCTTCAGCGTCGTCAGATTACCATCGTGGAACATCACCTCCTTTCCGCGTCTTCCGCTCAAAACCGCGCGAATCTCGTCGCTGCGCTGCGACGACGCGTTACTCTCGTTACTCTCGTTGCTCATCCTCGCGGTCGCCACTCTCGGCGGCTTGCCGTCCGCCGTCCTCGAGGCCACCTCCTCGCTCTCCTCGCCGACGATGTAATCCGACAATTTCCGTTCCGACGAGACGTCCGCGAATTTAGCCGGCGCGCCGTTCACAATATCCTCCGCGTCCGAGCAGAGCGACAAATCCGCCTCGAGACGCATGTTGTACGCGACTGGCGACAAGGCAAAGTCGGCGACCGTTGCCGCCACCGCTCCGCCACCGCCGCCGGTGGTGGCGCCACCGGTCGGCGGCCTTCTCGCGTGACAGGAGGGGGAGGAGGAGAGCAACGCGCTACCACTACCAGAACCAGCTCCGCAGACCGCGACGGTCGACGCGGCATCCTCGCTGGCTGCCGTTGAGCGTGCCGCGCGAAGCGCGCCGGCGATCGTGTAATGCTCCGGAACCGCTGCCGCACTCTGCTCGGTAGCGACGATGCCACCGTCGGGCGTCGTCGCGCACGCTGACGTTACCGACGACGACGATGGAGACGGCGACGACGTGCCTATCATCGCGCTACATAACTTGACGCTTGCGCCGCTGTTCGCGAGGACCTTGCTCTGCTGACGGCGACGTTGTATCAGGTCGCGCTTCCATTGCGGTACGTTGCTGTTGCTGCTGCTGCCGCCGTTCGCCTCGTTGCCGGCGTTCGCCGTCGCGTTGCTGCCGGCGGTAGCCATGTTGGACGCGCGCCGTCGGCGACTCTTGCTCTTTCTATCTCGCGCGCGATCTCTCTCTCTCTCTCTCTCTCTCTCTCTCTCTCTCTCACTATCTCTTTCTCTTTCTCGCAGCTTCCTCGCGGCACGACACCGCGACGTGCGCGCGTACGTTGCACGTACGTTGGTAACGTACGTCGTCCTTACGCGTCTCTCCTGATCACGCGGTCGCTCCACATCCTCATCGTACTCTCGTACTTAACGATTCTTACCGGCGACGAGTCGTACCGGTCGCGCACGATCGCCGGAAAATCGATAACCGCCGGACACGCCGAACATACGGTCGAGCACGCGCGCGAACACATACGCGGTCCGTGAGGGAAAGAGGTAGACGTGGACTTTTGACGGCTGCAGCGAGGGTATACACGTTCGTTGTACTCCGTCCTGTGTACGTACTCTTCCGGGGCGGATATTTACATGCTTTCGGATTCTACTTTGCGGTGTCTTACCCCGCCCCCGGTTGATCGCCGTGAGAAAGGGACTCCCGTTGGCTCTACGCGAAAATCGATCGCCTCTCCATTTCTCTCCTGTCTTCTCCCTTGTCGCTATCCCGCTCCCACCCGAAGGAGCGGCGCCGCGTCCTCACCGTCGGCCTCCTCTGTCCGTGTCGCGAAAGCGACTCCAAATACCAAGCGCGCGCGTTTTCCACCTGCCGCTCTCGCGAGACCGCTCCGCACCGCGTTGCGCCCGCCGCGATCGCGAGCACGATTGACGGGAAAGCCGCTGCAGTGGGTCCGCACCTGCGGGTCCGCCGGGATCGGCGCGATCAGGACACACCAACGACACCCGTCGCACACGCGCACGGCACACTGCGGAATCAGACGTCTCGCGGCACGCGCGACACGGGTCGACGCGGTTGCGATAACCGACACACGTCGCGCGCGAGAGTGTCACGGGGAAAACGCGATAAACCACACGCTGCCGTCGCTCTAACGCGCGATGACTGGCATTGTCCGCCTCCTGGAGTGCGGCGGCCACGGCGGCACCACCGCGAGAGCCGGCCCACTCGACGAAATCGAAAGTATCTCTCCGCTCGGCGGCCTCTGCCGTTCTCGCGTGCGCGCGCGCGCGCGTCCCCGCGTATAGTGTATATATACATATACCGCCGCCGAACCGAAACCCCTCGGCGAAGTCGAAAGGCGAACGCGCCTGTCTCTCGCGCGCGCGCGCTCCCATCTGCCCCGCGATCCCGTCGCCGGAGATCGCCTCTCTCTCTGCCACGGCGGCCAACAGCCCGTCGTCCGCTCTCCTCTCTCTTTTCTCCGCGCCTGTGTGTTGTGCACGTGCACGCGCACCGCATTTGTATGTGTTAGTGGCGTGTATATAAACGCGCGCCAGCCGAATCACCCCTCCTTTCTTACACGTACTGTCTTTTTCCCTTTCTCATTTCTTTCTCACTTTCTCTCTCTCTCTCTCTCTCTTCACCTCTCCTTCTCTCTCGCTCGTTTGCTCCCTCTTTGACGCTCTCCCGCCGCGTTCGACTCTGCTACTCCCGTACTCCGTTCCGTAATGTCACTCCGACAAGCGGCGAAGGCGCTCGTATCGAGCACATGACGCGCGAACGCAAAAAATCGAAGCGTATAGGGTTGCCGCGGCGGGGACACGCGCGCGGTTTTAAGGGTTGACACCGTTACACCACGTATCGGCGGTATTTGCGAAACGCCGATCCCCGATAATCCAAACATCATTCCGCATTTTCATACAAACGAGGTGTTTGTGTACAAGCGAATGATCGATCGAGAGAGTCGTTAGACTCAATTTATTTATCTTGTTTCGTATATGAGAGTATATCATTTCTGTCACGTGCATGTCTCTCGGTCATCGATTGATGTTTTAAATTAGTACATGTAATAATAATAATTATTAATTCAATTGATTATTATTAAATTGTAAGATTTAGCAGCCGCGATGCGCGGGTTTAAATTAGTACATGATAAAAATTAATATAAACTCAATTAATTATTATTAAATTGTAATATTTGATAGCCATGGATGCGCGGATATTAGAATTTGAACAATTCGCTCTAAATACGTCTGCAATATGCGCGTGCAAATTCACGTATGGAGGTACTTATGACGTTTGTATGATGACCTGGAAATATCCGCGACATATGGAACGGTCTCTATAACGAGCAAATCTTCGCAGTATGAAAAACCATATAGCTACTTCACTTAAAATGCATAACTTCGACGCGCGGTATTTGGAGCCGCTCGCCACGAGAACCGCCGATCGCATTTCGTTTCTCATTCCTTATCCCGCTGAACTTGTGTCTCATCACCGGCGGGAATAAAAAACGCGTGCACTTTATGTCTTCCCCCGATCTACCCTCCGCGTTCATTGCGAACTCGACGCTATACGCACTCCCGCGTGGGTGTTATTATGCCGCCGTCCCTTCCGTAATTTACATGCGCTCCGTTCTAGACGACTCGCGAAATGGTCTGCTTCCTGCGCTCTCGGCACTCGCAATCACGACAAAGTCTATCTGCAGTGATGCACACGCTGGAACGTCCACCGCGTGCACCATGCATTACACTCCGCAAGAATACACGAGATAGAGATCGCGATATATTGTTCTTCCATCGCTCAATAAATTTCGTAGACACGACTAGTGACGTAAAAATTCCTAGGTTCTTGCACATGCATTATTATTGCCCATAATGCAAAACATAGTATCATAGTATTGTTATATGTTATTATTACAAGAAATCAATTATTACACAGAGAGAAAAAAATGATTGCAATTATTACCATAATTTAATAACTTATAAATTATAAATATAATGTATAGACATTTTCGGTGTCAATTATATATTTGTTTGATAGAACTATAAATATAATTATTATTACTATAGCAGTAATTAACTATCTATAAAAATGAAGATATCTTAATCTTAATTATTTTATTATGCAATTTTAGTTACAAATAAATTACTGAACATTTTTTTCTCAGTGTATTAAATTATTACCGAATAATTAACAATCAATAAACGATTATTTAAATGCAGGCACCTCTAAACATGCCTTGATATGTGTGCCACTTTATTTCAAAGCACTTGTGACCTCGTATGTACACAATTTATCAATATACATATTTCTTGCTTTATGTCTATTGATATTAAATATGCAACATATTATTTTTCTCTCATATTTATGAGAAAAAAATATCGGTGCGTTAGATTTTAGATAATATTCAATAAAGTTATATTCTAATTAGTTTATAATATTAGATAGGCTTGCTATACAGAAATCCTTTCCCGTACAATTTCTGTCCTTGATTTCTACGTGCGTTCTGATGTGTGACACGAGCGAGAATTAAAACTATCGTGGAATGTTCGACGCTCGAATGTTTGGAACTCGAAAGGTATTCGATATCCTCGAAGGGAAAGTAAATCGGCGTATCGTAGCCTCTGTATATTGGGATCGATGCCTTTCCATGGTCGCGTAACAACGCAATGTCGTCGACTGGAGCGCTAAACCTGCCAAGCGGACCAAATCGCTCTCTATATTACACTTCATTATACTATCCATTTATCAGAAATTAACCGCTATATTGTACGTTGTTGATTGAAAGTTATATCAATATTTAAAAAAATTTTGATTTTATACAAATCTTTATCACGTATAAAGTAGACGCGTTTTTAGAATAAAATATATATATAGAATAAAAGATAAAATAAAAAATATACCATATAAAATATAGCGATTTAATTTATTTTGAAATACATTAATTATTTTTTAAGTGTTTCAAGAATTGCAAATTTAACCTTTGTGCAAAGCGCAATCCTTCATTTTAGTGTTTGTCTTTCCTCTATAGAAAATTTAAGGAAGATCAGTTTTTGAAGCATCTTTTATTGATTATCATTACTAAATAGATATGTATGTCAGTAATAGAACTTCCATTACTTGGCTATGAGTTTCACATAAAACTGCATTCAGTTATTATTAAATAAGCACTTTCGGCATTCGGGTTACAATATGGCGATACGCTTCGTGCCTTTCGGTAGCTATAAAAAGTGCTTTATTGTCGACATTAACGTCACGACGTCGCTCCCTTCCTTATTCCAGTTCCGTATTCAGTTCGGCAATTGTCCGAGGGTTGTTAAAGGAGCGCATAATTATCGGTAAGAACGGTGAAAGGTTCGTCTTGACGGCAACGTGATTATCTACGGCTGGTCGTTACATCGGTTACGATTATATCCCCCCTTGTATGATGCGATCGCCGCGTTACACCGACGAAAGACTTTCATGCGATCCTTATTCTCGGTCTCGTTAAGATTGCGCAGAAAAACGTAACGGGCGCCACAATTATACGAATACGATTACGCGTATTCTGGTATTAAATCACGTCGCGCCAGAGGCGTTGAGCAGATGTGATTATCGTTGCGTGTCATTTAGAAAATTCCGCTAGACTGTAAAATCCATTTTAAACGATTTATAATTTGCGTGAGAAAATTCAGGAGATTAAACTCTGTTTATGATATTTTATAATATTATGTGTATGCCGTGTGTAACGTGAAAAACATTCGAAGAATTGAAAATATTCTTCACATTAGCAGTACTCGTGTTTAAAATATAAATATATAAATATTCAAATATATGAAATTAAATATATATTAAATATGTGTATTAATTGAATTAAATATATTTAAAATGTATTAAAAATATAAATATATATGTATAAAGACACAGCACGTAAAATTACAAATTCTGTCGAGAAATCTGACGCGAGTTATAAATCGTCTAAAGCAAGCTAGACCGACCCCGATGTACCTATGTTGACCTACATCAAAGTGAAAAAATGTCCAACCGAAATTATTCGATATAAAGTTATCGTTTGGTAGATGCGTGCTCGATGTTTATCTTCGCTACTCCGGCGGCGGCTGCATCGGTGCATCGGAATCCCGCTATCTCCGTTCCGCGACATGACATAAAAGTTGTCATAAACCGCGAACGGTACGCGCGTTCTTACGCATCCGTACGTCACGTCTTCGTAAATCGCTTATACCGCAATCATGCACGCGTTTTGCCGAACGCGTTGCGGCAAAATCGTTTTGCGCCCATAAAGAACGTATATTAGCGTGCATTCCGGGAGAGCGCCCCGGCTCAGCCGGAACGAAAGTAGGTATCGATACACGACTGATTTTGCAACAAGGCGAAAAATAACAGGGAGTATGGGATTCTTGTTCAATTTAGGAATCTATGTACGTAGAAGAATCACCGTTCATTGTACCTCTACTTTAACGTAAGTAATGCGATTCTCATTTGATTGCATCACGAGGCGTCATGGGTGTTACGAGGATATTATATAATCAAGTACTACATAAGTAAGAAATTCACTTACGGTAGAGTTCAGAATGTAAATTAGTTAGGAATGTGCGAGAAGATGAAAAGTTTCTAATTATAGGTAATATATATCAACAATAATCTTTATAGGATTCATTCTTATAATATATTTAAATAATATATTTTATATATATAAACTATATATATTAATGTTACTATTAAGGTTACACTAGATATTACTTATATAAGAGAGAGAGAGAGAGAGAGAGAGAATTAACTATGCAAATTATAAGGAAAGAAAGGTATTTATTGGCAAACAAAAATTATGAATTGCTTCTGGTTCAGTAACTGCCTCGCACATATTTGCGCTATCTTACTTCTTTTACAGGCAATAATCTAAATCTTAATAAATGTATGATATCTAAAGCCCAGAATCCAATCCGACTTTTAAAGATAAATGTAATCAAGGTATGTCAATATCAGCAGTCTATGAGATAAGTACAATTCCAATTCGTGGAACTGCACACATTTGCCGAGAGCTGCGTCTTTTCTTAAGACGTCTGATTCCTATTAGAAAGTTATACTCCCGTCGAAGAGGTTCGCCTCAAAAACTAGTTAACCCGGCGACAAGTTTCCATTTGGAGTGAAACGGTTTCGACAAGCGGTTTGCGCAAACCGGTACGCGTCCGTCTGCGCGACATGTTGAATTCTCTGCGATCCCTTCTGCGTTTTCCATCGAATCTCAGAGACGGGAGCGTGTCGCGTGTCCGGTCCCGGTTCGGAATGCGTTCGGTTCCGGTTCGAAATGCGTCCGAAACTCGTGCAAGACGATCTATGATAGCGCTGCGCGAATCGGCATAGCTGTTTGTTTCACGAGCAACCCGACAGGCGGAAACCGAACATGATCGCCGCTTGGTGGTCTGCAACGCGTACGTAACCAGTTCCAGCTCGAAAACCGGTTTGGAACTAGTTTCCTTCGGTTTTTCGGCCCTCCCGCGAGAACCGTACGCAGTCGACATCAGCGAATAGCACTCCAACCGGATTACTCGGCACGATCACAACGTCGTCGACACGTTATTTTCCGGACAATCATGGCCGATAATAAGGAGCTGAAAGGTAAGAAAATCTCTTTGAGGTCTGTTCGAAAAATTTCGAGAATCTTTCGAAAAATTTACGTGCCCATGTAGCCACCACCGCTGATTCGCGTTTTCGAAAATGCTACATATAATAAACTGCATCGATTGTCGTAATGCGGGAAAATTCAAACCGTACGAAATGTGAGATAGTTGCACAATTTTCAGTATAGAAAGAAAATAAAAGATAACAAGGCCAATAGAATAAATAAACAAAGTTATTGTATTTGATGTAATTTCAGTTATTGTAGTGAAAATATAATAAACTGCAACCATTCCTTAGAAAATCGCAAAATACTCAACATTGAATATTATGATATCAAGAGACTCATAATAGATAAATGATATACATGAAGGAACAAAAAAAAATGAACTAATACTGCAGATATTGAATTAGGCCATTGCTGAATTTTCCTGTTATTATGTTTGTTAAGAATGCTATCAAAAAATTGCTATCAAATATTATGACGTAACAAAACACCGTATGTTCAACCACATAAATTTCAAATTAATTAGTTGAGAATTTGTAAATAATAATGTCTTTAATTATCCTGATTACAGAATGTCTCGTCTTATCTTGATCACTTTCACGTCATCGTAAATCGTGTAACTTTCGAGTGGCTCGCCGCGTTCTTTTATATACAGTTACACGATACCCAACAAACACAGATTATAATATTGTAACATTTCAACTGTATTGCAGTCTAGTTCAACTGCATCTATATGTTTACTGGGTACATATGTATAATTTCTTAAATTATTATTTTCGGTATAGAGATTGATGGTCACATGGAAGTAAAAGTGGAGCCGACCCTTCAATGCTACGTCGAGGAGGAGCATGAGAACAGCTTTTCGAATTTGGAGAACGCCAGCACGATACCGTCAAGCGTCGACGTGGGCGCGTTGAATCTGTGGACCAGCAAGGCCACCACCTGCCTGATCAGCCAATATAAGAAGTATCGTTCGCTGGTCGGACAATCGACGCAGATCAGAAGTCTGCGGGAGATGTTCGAGATGATATCGCTGGAGATGCAGACTTACGGGTTCTACTTTAGCCCGCAGAAGTGCGAGAACAAATGGCGCGTACTCGAGCGTAAATACAAGAACCTCGTGTTCCGCGAGCGGGTGAAAAAACCGGGCAGGATGCGGCACTACGGACAGTGGGAGCACAAACGCGCCTTGGACGAGATCTTCAGTGAGAAGAAGAGGCACGTGTATCTGGAGGCGAGCGAGCCGCAGCCGCCAAGCGGATCGACCAAGTATTCCCTGATTCCGCCGAAGCCCATCAGCTGCGATCGAGGCAGCGACTCGCCTGACGATCGGCAACGCGAGGATCCTCTGGCGCTCATGACCAGTGAGAAAGACGGCGAGACGTTAGATCACCAACAGATCTCGACGAAACTATTTGAGAAATTTATAGAGGAAATGGGAAAGAATTTCGCACTGGCCGAAAAGAACAAAGAGAGGCGGCACAAAGAGAAAATGGCCGTGAGACACAAAGAATTGGAACTGAAGAAGCAGCTTCTCAAGCTGAAGGAACAGAAGGTGGAATTGCAAAGATGCCAAGTGATTGCTGCAGCACAGAACTTGCGTTTGAATATGAAATGACGCGCGTTTGATTTCTCGTTGACATATAGATATACTCTAATTATATCTTTATTTTAATGTAATATAATTTAATGTAAAAGGGTTTTTTACGCATCTGTATGTTGCATATTGAATAAAAATCGATATTTTTTTTTTACAATTATACAATTGTGTAATTATAGCAACACATGGAAATTCAAGCTTTTGTAGAATTTCTGTAGAAGTTTCTCATTTTATTTTTTATATAGTGCACTTTTTTATATTGCATTACAGTTTCAAACACGTAATTTATGTTTGCATCTTCAGATGGCAGTACACGCTGAAAGCCACGTTTTGATTGAATATTATAATTTAAAACATTATGCTGAATTGCGAATTAAAGGTCAATTGCATTTTATACATTTAATTAGAAAAAGGAAAAAGATTGCAGTCATGAAAAATTGTTAAAGACTATAAGAGAATCTAAATAGAATTTCTGATCGAGGCCTCGTCGGTGGCCGATTGTCGGTAATAATCACGCATATATTGATTTAAAATTAGTTACAATAATTTTTCTAAAATTTTCCCAAAATTTTGAATTATGATGGTTTTTAAAGAAATTAATTGAGCTAGGCTTACTTCGATGATAAAATTTTCAAATAATATTTCCTTCGTTATCATCTAAATTTGCTTGCTGCTTCTTACTCCAGCCGTAATATTTGGAGGGCGTTAGTGCATAAAATTATTAATTATAAATAACAAACGATCTTCAATACTTTACATTATTGCATAATGATTGTGAATTACTTTTAGAACGATTCCGAAAAAAAATCTTTCGCTTTTATTCTGATTCTATTTTCTGACAGTTTTCTTACAGTTTAAATTTTCTGCATTGCCAGCTACCGGTTTAATTAAATAAATTAAATCGATCAGTTTATTTTATTAAAAAGAAAATTACGAGAAGCAAAGTTTTTAATATTAGCATTAATTAGCAAGAGAGAATTGGCAAAATAAATTATTTTTTAGAACACATTATAAATGTGCTTGTCTTAATAATTACAGTCCCGAATATAATTTCTACAAGTAGAGAGTTTTCTGAAAACGACGGCTCCTTTTTACATCTATTTTTGGTTTTAAATCTCTCGATTGAATTGGTTTAAAAATTAAACGTGAGAAGCGTGTTGAATACATGCGCGAGCGCCGTTTCACCCTTCAGAGGTTGCTCCGCCGTGTCCGATTGTGAGCGTCACTACGGATTATTTGTGTTATGCGTTCCGCTCGAACCTCTAACGACTCAATTTATTAAACGCGGCATCAAAGGATCGCGCGCCGGTTTTGCGCGCGTTACGTCTGCGTACGTTTGTATCTGTGAATGCCTCGTCCAATAAGCAACGTGCCGACAAAAATGGGAACGAGCAGAATCATGAGCTTATGCTTCTTTATATGTGTAAAATTATATTCCAAAAACACAGTTCTATGTAAAAGCGATATATATGAACGAAAGTAAATCGGGGAAATTACTTATCATTTTGGATTATAGAATGCTATAATTATTTTCCCTTTTCCATAATTAATTTTGTTTTGTTGAAAAACGCGATATTAACTAAATTACGCAACTAAATTATTTTATTCCAATTAATTTGTCTTTATCATGAAATCAGAATGTTCGAATGGAGAAAATTGCTTTCTGGCGTAGATGATTATAAATCGGTAATTAACGATGCAATACTGAAATTATTAATTTTGTTATATTATATCACGATATGTACTATAGATTCCATTTATGTTTAATTTCCATCACGATTTTAAAACTATGAAACTGTGTATGCTATGTGAACATTAATAAAAATTTCCAGTAAAGCTATTTTTTAAGAAAATCAATGAAATATAGCTTCTTGTACGTGGCATTCGCGATGACTGAATTTTTTTCATCGATTGCCCGTCGAATCTCTGTTATTGGTTCGGAGTTCTGTGGAGCGTGCAAACCTTTTGTCAAACTGGCGCAAAAAGTTCGAACTGATTGTGAGAAGAGTTGGTGTACTATGCTGACGCCAACAGTATCCGGCAAGAAAGCTTATAGCAAAAATCGTGATAAATTATACAATTAGATCTTTTACCGCATAAGATTCAGTGACCATTCGGTCATAGATTCACTTCGACTGCATTGGATAGATTTTATTGACGGTTTACTTAACTCTCGACGAATTTAATGCTGTAATGCATCGTTCGATTATTAATTGATAAATAATTATTTTTTCATAAAAATATATAATTTTATCACATTTTTTATAAAAATATTTTACTTTATATAATATTATAAAATTTATAAAAGATTGTAAATGCTCTATAATTTATTTATTATATTATTTAATTATAAATACTTAAATTATTTTAAAGAATTTATTGTATGTATAAAATATATAAAAGCCTAACAACATACAATATTTTCGATTGATTAACTATTTTTTTATCTTTTCACATTTTATGATTTCTAACAAAGAACATATATATATAATATATAATACAGCTAATAATTTCCATTAAATTCATTTTCGTTCAATTAATAATGACATTGCCACAATTCATTTTATTTTTATTTTATATTTGTTACTTTTGTTTTAACATTTATTTAATTAAAATTTTCAATTGCAAATTCTATACAAATGCGAGCTCTATGTGGCGTTAACAAATTTTACACATGCCGTGGAACCTCAATAATTTCATAATAAAATCAATCTCTTAATAAAAAAAATCTATATGTGTTCTAATTTGCTCTCTAACTTTAAAATATTGTGTATATCAAAATTCATATGTATGATATTAAGGCGATTCATTCTTTGTCGCTCGGAAGTTAAAACGAAAACGCCGTGGTCTTCTGGGAAGACCACCGAGCGCCGTTATCGTTCTGAAATAACGTGAATACAACCACGAGCACTCACTCTGATCTTCACGAGCGTATGAAACATCACGCTCGTTCGGGTTAAGCGTTCCATGTGCACCACGCATACGTGACGTCCAGCGACGACGACACGACGAAGACGACGACGACGACGACGACGACAACGACAACGACAATGACAACGACAACGACGACGACGACGACGACAACGATGATGATGACGACGACGACGACAAAGGGTACGCGCGCAATTTTATAAAGCGTCGCGAGTGCTTTTCGTGAAAAAATCGGTGGAACCGGTTACACCCGCTCACCTCACGCTCTCGCGCACACGCGTACACAGCCTACTTTACTGTTTACGCGAGAACACGCGCAGGTGCGTACGTACGCGCGCGCATCTTCCGTTGCTCCGCCCGATAACGAACAACGGATCTTTGATTTCTAACAAGTTTAAAACTGCGCGAAAAGAAAACGCATTTTAGACGGTATATAATTCGCACTGGATTTCAAGCTAAAATTCTGTTTACAATCTCGTAATCTCGTCGTTCTGTTTAAAATTTTTCGATATTACATATATTTTAATATATATTTTACATATATGTGTATTTCTGATTGTTTTTTTTATGTTTTACACGATAAATTATAAATAAAGTTTTATCATGCATTCTGACACATTATAGATTGACCGAAGGATCTTAAGTTAGCGATGTTTCAAAGAATAAATTTTAATGTCTTTTGTTTGAAGTACGGGAAAGATCATGATTTTAATCCTGAGATTACAAGATATTTTCAAACTTATTAATTTCGACTGAAATAAAATAAATCTGTAATTTGGTTTTGATTTCCTATTAAAGATAGTATACATTTATATTGTATATATATATATATTTTTTTTTTTATTTTGTTCACAGAAATATATTAATTGAATACAATGCAGACAATTTTACATGGAACAAGAATTTTTTCAAATGTAATCTTTATAATAGATATCACATTTAGGAATGAACCTAAAGGAATAAATTTTATATATTTCTTAATAATCAATATATCAATATTGAAATCGTTTTTAGCGTATTTTATGCTAGACGATTTAGCTGTGAAAAAATTATGCTCAATTATTTTCGATTTATTCATAAACGTGTCACGAGTGTCACGACACGGCATGAATTTTGCATGTAAGATTCGCGACTGGTGTATCCCTAGCTCTTTCAAACTTTTCTGCGGAATCTACTCCAGACGTGAATCAATCGAGAATGTCGTTATGAAAGTTGAATTTATTCGCCTCTCCAAGGCGAGTTCACGTACGGGATACTTAATTTGGATCAGAAATCTTCACGTTATCCATCTCGCCCGACTTATAACTCCGAGCGCGAGTTGCGGGGCGCCGGCGCGCACGCTACGAGCATGAGCGCGACGAGCAACGGTGCGGAGGTGGTCGGCCGTCCAGTTGAGCCGCGACAGCCGAGCGGTGAATACGTTTCGTATTGTATCGCGCGCCCCGCGATAATCGACGTGTAGGTCGAGGGAAAGAAAAGAGAGAGAGAGAGAGAGAGATTCGGCTGGGTACACACGCGGACTCGCACATGTGAGCTGTTTATATTTCGGGCGTTGAAAAAAACGAGAACGCGTCACGAAAAGGAAGGTGGCGGGCACGCGAGAGGTGCCGGCCGAATCGTACACCCGCACGTGTTTTTTTTTTTCGGGTTTTCGTGTTTTTTCGTAAATCGGTCGAGTGCGCGTGTGACGTGCGTGCGTGCGAACGTACGCGACCAGAATCACGCGACGCGGAAACACGTGAGAACGGAAAACGTGTGTATGTGTGTGTGTCTCGCTCCGTTTGAGAATTACTCCCAAAACATTCGTCGCCGCGCGAGACATTGTTTGTTTACGAACCGCAGTGGCGCCGCGCATCACCTCTATCGTCCCCCTACCCACGCGCCCTGTGCTTTCTCCACTGATCGGGCGGGAAGCCGAGCTTGAGTTGAGACCTGATCGAGACTGAGGGATACGGAAATCGTCGCACGCGATGCGTCGCGCTTGTTGACGGTGAGAAAAGGATTTCACGATTTGTCGCGGATCTTGCATCTCGCACTTACGTGGCGAAGAGATGAACGAAGGAAGGCGCAATCATCACGTTCGAAAATCGAGTTCGCAGGGCTTATTGTGAGCTCGCATCACGCCACCTGTGTCGCAACACCGAGGCATCTATCGATACCGTATATCATTCGCGCGTTTTCGAGTCGCGCGAGAGAGGCCGGACAATCGCCCCCCCCCCCCCCCCCTCG